CTCTTTCCACTTCCCCCAGCCTTCCCAGCAAAGCTCTTCAGCATCTGTCTTCTGTGCAGGATGGTGGCAATGTCAGCGGCGTTCAGGCATACCTCCTTGGGGCTGTTCAGTGCTCACTACTATGCTCCCCAATCTCCTGCCCCTGGAGAGTGAAGGAGATTGGGGAGAGGCAGCAGGAACCTGCTGGGTCTCTCTCTTTGAAATGTATAGGAGAAGTGCAGCGGGATAGCGAGCATCCCCCCCCCTTATCAACTAATCAAGTAATCAATGAAAATTCCATCGACTACTCAATTAGCTGATTAATCAAAATTTCACATCCATAAACCTAGACTCACTATCCTCCCCTCACTGAGTCTGAGTATACGGAGTTTTAAAGTGACAGTCAGGAAGTCTTGCACCAAGACACCAGAAAGAGGGGTGCAAAAAGAAAAGTAACATACAGGAGGATGTAAGTACACATAAGATAAACAAGGCCATCTCCTTTCTTCACTTAGACCAATTATTCGCTCTTCAAAACATACTGCATGAACTTAGACCTCATTCCATTCACTTACACATCAGAAGGGAGTCTCTGTATTACCTCTGAGCCTGGCCCCACACATTTCAAAAGCTACTCCACTGTTTACTGATAAGCCTGACAATCTATTGAAGTTTTACCATGTACTGTACTTCTGTTTCCTATCTCTCAGGTACCTCTGCATTTCTCACTGAGGGTTGTATGAAGTGCTGTGTACACATTCACAGGATCTTAAATATTAATTGCACTTTATCCCCTGCCTTTGTTTCCCAGCTTCCACCGGATTTCCCTTAGCACTGTACATTAAAACTGATTTCATGTGTGCATGGAAGCATTCAATGGACTCTGTTTTCTGACCATCTTGAATTATCACTCAACAAAACTGGGCTCACACGTGCAACACTAAAACCTCCACATCTAGTTACTCTATTTGGGATTTTGCCAAGTCTGAGGAATTACAATAACAGTGGGGAGAAGTCACTTTCCACTGGCTCTTGTTTCAGGTGCCTTTTCTTTTGCCAGCAAAACTGCTTTGTCCAAATTAAATGCACATGGAATTCAAAAGATAAATTCAATTTGCTGCAATGGGGGGCTTGTAAAAAATGTCACTCAATGGTATGTAAAGTGGGACATTTGTGCAAATCTCACTTGCTTTGATCTTTGAAAAATGCTCTTAGTTTTTTTATACTATGATCCTCATGTCACAAAAGAAAATTTTGGAACCCTTTTTTAATGTGCTTTAGGATTAAGGCATACAAAAGATCTGGAGCTGGAACTGAGAACCCATGCTGTATGCCAATAAGCCTCTGAAAGTGGCATCTGTAATTCAGTTGTTTATTCTGTTTTATCATTCATATTAGAAGAAGAAACTGAAAAGAAGTCAGGAGCATTGAGAAATGCAAGACTAACAACAACTAACCAGAGACGCTAGAAATGCCCTCACATTGTCCAGTCCTTTCCATCGGAGCATCTGCAACATTATCCCAGTCTTTTCCATCTCAGCATCTTCACAAACATGAATTAATGTAGCATCCAATGCCTTTGTGAGGCAGGGTTGCTTAGCATTCCCCATTTTTCAGGTGATGAATCTAGGACTCAGAGAGATTTTCTGATTTCCCCAAGGAAGTCAGAGGAAGTGCCAGGAAAAAAATCCAGGACATGCCAACTGCCCATAGGACCACTCTTCTTTCAATATAAATGGCCCCAGCATCCAAATTGCACTGTGTTTTCACCTGTGTGCCAAAGCCTAACGGAGTGGTTCTTGCACTTCAATAGGCAAAAGTGGAAGAAGGACGGAGCAAGCCTCAATCTATTGCCCCTCTGCCCACTGGCAAAAACTGCTACAAACGCAGCAGAAGCACTAACAAAAGAGAGCCGAGGCCAGCAACAGCAGTATGTGTCAAAGAGATTCTTTTAGGGCAGTCTTTTCTGCTTCTCCCATTAACGAGAAAAAGGCAAGGTCTAGTCCTTGTGACTTCAGAGCAGAATTATGTAGTTTCATTCCATCAAACAGACCTTACTCTGTAGAGACATTCTGTGCATTACACAAAGCACACGAATCAATCATTAGGTCAATGATACTGATAGCTTCTGCTCACTGGAGCTGGGAGTGAGAATGGGCAATGAAATATTAGAAGATGATTTTCAGAAAAAGCCTAGTCTTAGCTCTCGTGTCATAGCTAGGCTTGCAAAACTAGCTGAAAGCCCCTCCATACTCAGGAAATTACTCAACCCCATGTTCTCACACAGCTTCTCTGGCTATGGTGGGAAGGGGTAGAAGGTAGAAAGGCTGCAGGACAGAGACAAGTCTCCAAGGGTAACTATAGAAGAGAGGTTCCACGAGGAGTACAGGTAGTTCAGAATAGGAAGCCTAGTCTGAACTACCTAGTTCGTGCCGCGTGTAGCCGCAGGGCACGGAGTCCGAACTAGCGGACATTTAAAAATGGCGGCGCCCGGCAACATGCAAATGAAGCCCGGGAAATTCAAATCCCGAGCTTCATTTGCAACTCCGGTTGACTACATTACCACCCTAGTTCGAACTAGGGTGGCAGTGTAGACATACCCCAGCTCTTCCTCCTTCATCCCCTTCCTGCCTGCTCACTTTTGTGGGGAGTAATACTGGGAACAAGGTCCCTGCTCTATTCACCAAGG